AAAAAAAACACCATAGAACTACTTCAATATATTCAAAAGTTTTTAGGACCATTAGCTTTCACATGTTATTGTGTAAAGAAAGACACAGGTGGTCTATAGATGAAGGTATATGAGTAATTATGTAATTATTCAATTTAGCCAAATCGAACAGTATAACATGATAGAAAAGACTAAAAGTCTCCATAGATAAGCAAAATGGATGAATAAGTGATGCGTTTTCAAATATTCCTAAGAGATGCTCAAAAACGACTGTGGTATTGAATAATTTATTAACAAATTATTATGAACGGCAGATAGAGGCTTACAAAATACAGTTTTGCTTATGATGTCCTTTGTCTTGTTCAAGTGCTTGCTCTTTCCCATGTGCAATTTTTTAATAACTGAAACGAGAAAAAGCACCCACACTCACCTCGGGTAATATTGGCAGATAACGTTGTATGCCTTTCCACATTTTGCAATGCCGCAGCCAACTTCGCGAGTTTCCGCCCAAGCAATCTTAAGGAGCAAGATCTACTACCTTTTAAAGACATTGTTTGAATACTTGTGTGGATTGGCTAATTGGATGAGCGATGTGCTTCTCCTTAAAAGTCACAGCTCTTCCCAGACCAGTTCGCCGTTGATGTATATGTGACCACCAACCATTTATAGCCTGAATTTGCAAATTCACACGATGTAGGCCTATCTTCAAGTTATTATTAAATGGTTATCCACAGAGAAATCTAGAACTCACCCATCGTATCACCCCTTCATCAGTGAGTACATTTTCTTGTCGAACAAATGCTTCATTACCGTCCCTCTCTCTTTGCCTTGGAGCCTCGGCATTATTCAAACCACACTTGCGCGCTCGAGATAGTGCCAAGGCTTCCAGAGTACAATTATATTTCTAAACTTTATGCCTAACACTGCAGTTTTGAATAAAAGCATCGACTTACCAATTTCATCATGTTTCCGGCTTGCGGAAAAGCATTTCCGGATATTTTTCTCACCAGTCCCTTTGTGATCATTGATCTGAATGTATAATTTTCGTTCCCTTACTTTATTCTGAATTACTACAAAGACCTGTATTTATTGTGCGCTAAAAGAATGATTTCGCGGAGCTCGTTCGCCATTCCTTTATTCTTTGAACAAGTGCTTTTCTCTGTAACTAGACCATAGGACCCATCAATGGCCGGAAATTATCAACAAACTCAATATTGCGAAATATGCGCTAGTTCGAAATAGCAGTCAAATAGTGAATGTGTTCATAGGTTGTACATACTTACTCACAAAGCATATGTGCGAGTCAAGCTCTTTGTACACTGATCAATACTATCTTTCACTACTTGCCGTTATAAATCATGGAGCAGACATCTTATATGTAAATTTTCATGTGCATCTAAAAAGAGACTGAAGGGCGTAGCGTCACCTGCTGCAAGCTTCAAACTTTGATCTGTCTGTGTTGTTTTTGTGACATATGTTGCAAACATCTGTTGACTTCACGAACAAATCATGGGATATAGTTTGATTTTCTGAACGATTAGAAAAATCATTTCATAACTCTTATAGACAGATGAAATCAATGACGATCAATTGTTTACCTGAACTCTTTGATAGAACCATGTTTTACTTTCTACGCCATCGAGAATGGCTAATTCAGATCAGCCTGGGACCGCCAATTCCCAATTATTATGATCTATACAGGGTGTCCCAAAAAGATGTGCATACTGTTTGATCGTTAATAACCCTGCTTTCATGTCTTCCGCCAAGGTGATACCATTCTGTAGGGCGGGGTATAACTTAGATTTACAGTAGAAAGCGAATCACCAATCGCTCTTCATCACTGTATGATTACGTTAGAATTTTTCAGTATACAAGGCTACAGTGGGATGTCTCTTGACGAAAAAATTCTAAAAAAATTTGAAAATTCGTGTAGCAAGGTTTTCTGGCGTGCTGAGTTCACTACTCAACTTTTTACGAGTTTTTCGAGCTTTCTTAATGGTGTAATCACACTTCTGA